CAGCGGAGCAGGATGAGTCTGTTAGAGAGCTAGGGAGCTCCGCTTAAGAAGGCAGTGGTGGAACGCGTTTTAAAGAAAAAACAACTCTTAACTCAAACTCCTGATGCAAATGAGCTATATTTTTAAAATGCAATATGGGAAATATGATGCATGTTATTGGTGTTGTTGTCCATGTCTTTTTCCATTTCCAAGTTAATTTAACGGGTCGTCAGGGTTATATTATGCTGCCTGAACCTGTAGCGGTGGCAGTTCCGGTCTAAATGGCGTGTACAGTCTCGCGAGCACGCAGAGATTTTTTGCGTCACCCACATCAAAAACCGCCATTCGCGCCCACTGCCTGTAACGGACGGCGCGAGTCGGTGTGAACAGGAAAGATGTCGCTAGCCACGCTCACGACAGAAGAACTTCTACAGCTGCTTGCCAACGCTGGTTTGGATATAACGGAAGACGAAAGAAGAAAATTCATAGGTGAGTAGCCTAGCATTTTTAATAACTCAGTTCACTATGGATTATGTTGAGACGGTAGGAATTTATCGTACTCTAATAACATGCTGATGCTAGCTGTACTGAGTCGCTTTTTTGAAATGTAAAGAACTAACTTTATGGTGATAAAGGGATAATGTCTATTGTCTTTAATTTCATAAAACATATTTAGCTAACATGTTTTGAACATTAGTAAGTCAGCCATTTAACTACCATCAAGTAACTGACCTTGGACTACTAACCGTAGCATTTTTAAGTAAGCCCTAGCAAACGTTGAAGTTAGTTAACTGAAGCAAGGTGCAGTTAATTTGGCTCCTGTTTTGCCGCAATAGTTTGATTTTACTTAGGCTATGCAATCACTACGAAAAACTATCATTTTTTACATTCAGAACTTGAAGGTAGCTCTTACACTATATTATTACTCTCTGAAGCTCGACCACGTTTTTCTGAAATCTCGCCGTGCGCCATTTTGAGACGGTTGCACACACCTAGAAGTGATCATTTTAGCGTCGCATAGATCAGGGGTGCTCAATACGTCGATCGCGATCTACTGGTCGATCGCAAAGGTGGTCTGGGTAGATCGTATGGCATAAAAAATAGAGGATGGATGACGCGTTCAACCGCGCCAGCTGCTGCAAGCTACCGAGTCGCCTAGTTAGCCTCCAATTTATTTCTACTAAACTTAAGAAAGGGTATAAAAATGAATGGGGGAGCTGGACCAAGTATGAAGCCAAAAACCTACCACTTCCATACGGAATGGGAGGAGAACAGTTTTTTTCCCCACCATGTCATATTCGAAGTGCGTTTGCCTCATCTGTCTACTGTTGCTATTCCGAAGAAGGGAAATGTGGTGCGGCATTTTCGGACTGTTCATAGAAACTACGACATTAACTTCCCTCCAAAAAGCGAGCTGAGAAATAGAAAGGTGAAGGAACTAAAATCTCAGTTCAATTCAAAAATGCTTTATCCCTAAGAGAAATTATTATTAATAATAATAAAGAATACTCGGCATGTCTATAAATAAATACATGTTTTGCATTTTTATAGTAGGTAGATCATTTTGACTTGGACATTTATAAGTAGCTCGCAAGCTGAAAAAGTGTGGGCACTCCTGATGTAGATGCTTATTCATGAAGTGCATTTAGGGCTAATCTTACTTGAGATTAGAAAGTAATAAGAAGGAACCTGCTGAATTATACTGGATTTTTTTTTTAAATAAATCTGTAATTCTCTTGTTTTTCCCAAATGATTGTTTGCATAAGCTAGTTGGTGTTGGAAGATCACTTTACTGATATTGTTTATCCACTGCTTTGTTTCTCAGAGAATGAAGTTGATGGAGAAACTGTGGACCATGGTCTCACAGAAGCAATGATTGCTTACCTTTTTGAGAAATCATTCAAAAAACAGTTAAAGTTTAGAGATTTTGTTCAGCAGAACAAAGAGGTAAGCTTTAATCTGGAGGTGCTGCCACCATCGCCAGCTGTCGAACCAATGTTTGTTGATACTCCTGCTCCCTCTAAGCAAAACAGGTAAGGGTGGCATTTCCTATTAGAATTAATGGAATGTAATGTTTAAGAGAGGAAAAAGCCTTGGTCATTCATTAGTTGGTCTGTTGAATACTTAACTGGGTAATGTAGCCTGGTTTCATTTTGATGAGGTTGCATGCAGTATGCTTCAACATTTGTATTATACCGCAGATTTATTTCGCTCTTTCTGCCATTGAGTATGCCGTACCTATAATTGACATGACTATTTGTGTTATATTGCAGAGTCAGGCTTCCAGCTATTATTTCCATTCCACGGTTTCCAAATGATGTGCAGCACAAATTAGATGCTAAAGAACCATGCCACAAGGTGTCAAAATACCGGAACACAATAGTACGAACTTTGTATGAGATGATGTCACAGTACACAATGTAAGTGCCAACATAAAAGATTCCAAGAGCTTGGATTTGGACAGCAATTATGGTTTTACTTCAGTTATAGAACTTTGTCATGGTTACAAACAGAAAATCTTTGTGTACCATCATAAAATTATTCTTTACTGGAATTCACATGATCTATGTGTTGACAAATAATTTCATATAGCTTGTCTTACTACATGTACATTTTTTTCACTACTGACACAGGTTTCCAAGTAACCAGGAGTATGTTCAGGTTGCCAAAGCATTGATCCTGAAATATCCATTTCTTAAGGACATTGATGGCACTGGTTATGTAAGTTAAACATGAACAAAATATGAAGAGCATGTATATAAATTTATTATTTCTGCAGGAAGGGAAAACATTGCCTGAATAAAAGCTGTTCACTGATAACTCAGTTTCTAAATGTGGAATTTGTTTTTTGTTTGTCTCACCTATAGCATACGTGGCATATGTCACTTAAACGAAAATTCAAGACTGAGCGTGCACCACTGGTTGATGACGCAGAAGTTAAAAAATACAAAGACAAGTATGCCCAGTCCCGGAAGTCCAAGGCCATGGATGGATCAGCAGCTGCAGGGCCTAAACAGGCTAGAGCATCTTCAGTAAGCAAGCCATGTTGATTTTCATCTTTTAGGGTTATTTCCCATTGAATACTGATATCCTGTACAACTTTAAAAGATCTGACTCAGCTAGGTTTTGTGGTTGTCATTGTATGTCTTTATACAAAGGAGCTTGCGGTGATTGGGGAGGACTCTACCTCTATTGAGGCCCATGTCCGAGTACTAAAAGAGCAATACAAAAAAATGCAGCCTGACATGGTCATCGTGAAAGACCGCATGACCAGAACATTCACATGGAGACGAAGAGAAATTGTGGAGGGAATTTCTGTGGAAGACTTAATAACGACATACCCATTTCTCACAACATCCTCAGGGGTAAGTATTAACCAATTTGAACACAGATTATGATGGAATCTTCATGACCCTCTCCATCAAAATGTGAAAGTCTGATGGAGGTGTTAATATACTGTTTCTTATGTCTCTGTATTCTGATGTCTCATGTTCATCACAGATCTGCCTTGACTCAGGTTTCTGAAATACTGTTTTGTCATAGCATATGTTTTATCTCTATTAATTAGTTATATGATGAGGTGGACTCCATTCATCCTGCTCCAGTGCCAGTCTATCGACGCATCAGAGAGAACCTCTCAGCAGTGCTTCCCAAGCTACTCAGTTTAGTCAAGGATTCGTCACCACTTAAAATAATCTACCTTGATGCAAGAAATGATGCCCTGGCTGAGGAGCATGCAGGTACTGATTATATAAAATTACTTAACACGGTTTTGTTTAAAGGCTGGATAAGAGGTTTTGAGCCTTCTCTTAGAAGGTTATACATGTCTTATATAATATAAATCCTACTTTGGTGTTCCAAATCAATTAATGACCAAACTTTAAATTGTATTTATTGTATATGTGTTTGTGTTTTCAAGCCATTGACACTAGAGGTGGAATTGCCCTCTTGCCATCGATCTTCAAGGAAAAGATCGAAAACTTGATGATTCTAGGACAGGTAACTTGAGCTAAATATTGTTTGACACATCAGATAGGACTTTGGTTTGTCTGTGTTCCTGATCATATTCCATGTTTCTTTCTTTACTGCCTGTCATTTAGGGTGAGCCAAACACTCCCTACCCAACTATTCAAGTGAAGGTCCAAGATTGGAAGACTGCTATTGCAAGAAAAGCTGAAAGTGTCATCGTAGTTGACGGGGTTAAAGTGTGCTCCTGTATTGGGATTGAAGAGGCATTCATCGCCGCATTCTGTATGTATTTTGTTTTGAACATGGAATACCCGTCCCACCTGAAAAATACAATGGCTTTCTTCCAGAGAAGCATTGCCCAGATTTTGCTGAATGGAGAGAAGCTGTCAACACCTGTAACTCGTATTATTAACCTACTGTACTGAACAAAATGCCACCACAGTATCAATGCACCAAGTGTTTGCGTAGAACTTTTACCCTTACAAAACTAATTCAGCATATTGGACTTGTTCATGCGCATGAACCTAATTTCAGTATCACGTGTGGTTTGAAAGACTGTCAGTCATCCTTTTCAAAATATCATTCCTTCAGACGGCATGTTTACAGGAAACACAAACAGAACTTTTTCCCTTGCACAGAGAACAATGACATTATAGAACACCCCAGTCCTGAAGAACACTCTGCTTTAGAATTGGTCCAACATAAACCATCAACTATGGAACAACTATTGGAAGGTCTAAAAGACAACTTATTTGGCTTCATTTTGAAATGTAGGGAAAAAAATGGACTTACCCTGGCAGTACAGCAAGACATTGTTGATGATCTTCACTTTTTGCTTTGCTTCTTTAAAGAGAACTATGATGCATTTATTTCATACCATCTTGAAAAGAATGGGTTTAATGTGTCTGAATGTGAAGAACTTAACCACGTTATGTCCTCTACACACTTTTTTGACAAAGCTTGTGAAGTTATTCGGTCTCCGCATATGATAAAAAATCAATGTAAATCGAAAATGGGTTTAATTGAACCAGTCAATTATACACTTAGAAGCGCCTCAGGGGAAAAAATTGGACATTTTGCCTATGTGCCAATCATTCAGGTGCTCAAAAAGTACTGTTCCCTGGAAGATGTGTGGGAGCAAATAATTGCAAATGGTACAAAGGCTAGCGATAGTGAGGTTTTGCGAGAATACATAGATGGAGAGTATTATAAGCAACACTTGTATTTTCGAGACAATCCACAGGCTCTACGTCTTCATTTTTATGAGGATGAATTTGAAATCGTAAATCCATTGGGGGCCAAAAGGAATAAGTACAAACTGTGTGCCTTCTATTACACTGTAGGGAACATAGGTGACAGATATAGATCGAGACTGAGCCACATTCATTTAGCTTTGATGGTACGTTACATCCATTTGAAAGAATGTGGATTAGACGCTATACTTCAGCCCATCATAGATGATCTCAGGACTCTTTCATGTGATGGTTTCGCTATATGTTTTGATGGGATAGAACAGACTGTCAAAGCTGCCCTTGCCACAATTTCATGTGATAACCTGTCTGCTCACATGATAGGAGGATTTTCAATGTCATTCAATTCTGGCAGGATCTGTCGATTTTGCATGGCCTCCTATTCTGAAATGAAAAAAAACTTTTGTGAAGAAGATTTTGTATTGAGAACCACAGATGTGCATGCTTACCATGTCGAAAGTGTTATTGATGACCATGAGATGGTAGCTTTATATGGCGTCAAAGCGAAATGTCCATTTAATGAATTGGACTACTTTGATGTCACCAAAAGTTTCCCCCCCGACGTCATGCATGATGTATTAGAGGGGGTGTTACCTCTTGTTATGAAATTAGTAATCGGTGAAGCACAGAAACAGAAGCATATAACCATTCGTGAATTTAATGAGGAACTAAAATGGTTGTGCTTTGGGAAAAATGATATAGGAAATAGGCCAGTGCCTTTAACAGAAAAAACTCTGCAGAATTCTATAGTTGGATCTGCAAGCCAAAAATGGTGTCTTTTCAGGGTTTTGCCCATTTTGATGGCTCATCGAGTCCCACCTGGTAGTGCTTACTGGAATGTGTACTTGCTCAGCAGAGAAATTGTAGAGATTATTTTAGCTTCACAAATCAGAAAAGACGACCTTGCAAATCTCAAAATACTAATTGAAGAGTTTTTAATGGAGATGAGTAATGTCTTTGGAAATGTATTGACCCCCAAGTGTCATTACTTAATTCATTACCCACGATTAATTTCGATGTATGGACCCCTGCGCTACTTATGGTGCATGAGATATGAAAGCAAGCACCAATATTTTAAGGACATGTCCAGAAGTAGCAAGAATCTAATAAATGTTACACACTCTTTATCTACTCGACATCAGTTCAAACAATGCTGGGAGTTTTCTTCCAATTTATTGGGTGAATTTGAAAGGTCCAACAGCAGAAGCATAAACACACCATTTTCAGCACTTCCAGTAGACTTACAGAAGGCTTTGAAAGGACATGATGCCTTTCAAGATGTGCAGTTTGAGGGCAAAATGCTTCAGCGTGTTTCACAATTAAATGTAAATAGTGTGAAGTATGCCCTGGAAGATGTTTTTGTCATTGGTCATGTCCATGCTGAAAAAATCCCACTATTTTGGAGGGTGAAATATATAATCAATGTAGATACATGTTGGGTGTTATGTGGGAAGATTTTGTGTCCACTGTCTTTTGACAGTCATGTTCATGCATACAGTGTCAAATTTGACCAAAATTGGACATTGTTACACCCAGGGGATGAGGTGGATTTTCAAGCCCTAGATGTTTATTTAGTTGATGATGCCTTGTATGTACCGTTGAAATATTTAGTATAATCTGCCCACTTGTTCCTTGTCTGGCCATACCCATTAAGATTGAGAATTTGGTCATTTATTAAATTTCATGTTCATCCAGTTGTGCAATGTGAATAGATTTGAGAACACATCATTAAATTTTGATTTCAATGTATTTTGTATATGAAGTGTTAAAGGACAAAAAACTTCAGTGTCTCAATTTCATGTAAAAAATTTGTATACTCTCAGTGAGGCTTTTATAATTGTTCGTGTCTGATGAAATGCATAATTTTAGATGTTTGTTGGGTGTCATGCATTTTGAATGAAAAATCAATGTTTTTTTTTTTAAATGAATGCATTCTAATAACAATTGATGGATTTGACATTAACATTGATTGTATTTGTATTAATTTGAAGTATTTGTAACACCACTCAAAGTGATGTAACTGTTCTTTTGTTCTAAATAAAATATTTAAATATACCTGTTGGTTGAGCATGTATTTCAGTTATACCACTTTAAATTTTCAGAGATATTACCTTAAAAGGACAGATTAGTACCTTTTTGAGGGTACAGCATGGTAATGGTGTATTCAGGTACATTTCAGTCATGACAGGTACACAATTGTGCTTTAAAGGGTACAGATGACTAGAGTACAAAAAAGTACCTGCGACAATAGGTACATTATTGTTCTTCAGAAGGGTACTGCCCCAGCGACAAGCTTTTGTACCCATATAGGTACACAGTGGTACTTCCATTTCTCTGTGTGTAAGCCTATGTTCACTGTAACCTCAGTTTCCTTTTCTTAGCTGACAGAAGTGGCACCTGATGGTTTTCTGCTGCTTTAGCCCATCTGCTTCAAGNGCTTGTGTGTACTGTTTGATACGAAAACACCATTTTTACGAAGGTGTGAAGAGTTAATCTAGCTGTGTTCGCTTTTGCAAGAGAACTACAATGTTTTGATAATTGGGTGAAAGGTTTTCTTATTTGTGTGTAGAGTTTTGCAAAAATAGCCAATAGTTACAGAAAATGTGCTTAAGCAATCAGAAAAAACTGCAATTTCTGAAAGTGTCAGGATCTGTCCCTGCTATGTATGTTTCCCTGTTTGGCCAGCTGGTGTTGCTGACCATCCCATTCTGGGGTTCCCCTAGTCTTGCATGCTTCACAGGTCCTAGTGTATTCCCACCTGGCTGCCATGTGGCTGTGTGGGCTGAGCCAATGGCTGAGAAGCAAGCACCCCTACTGGCATAGGTTTGAGAGTTTTATGTTACTTTGGTTAATTGTTCTTGTATTTCAGTTCCATCTTTGTTTTGTCTTTGGTTCTAGTTTACCCTGCCTGTGTCTAGTTATTATTTTCTCTTTTCCTATGATCCCATTATCTCTCAGTGTATGGCTCAGTGGTGGTGTTAATTGCCCCCACCTGTTTTTTGTTTCTCTAGTCTTCAGTGTTCAGTTTGAGGGTAATCAGGCTAATTTTGTTTAGTGTGGATTTTGTCCCAAATACAATTAATTCCATCTTATCACTGTTAAGTTTTAGAAAAGTTTGAGTCATCCATAGTTTGATCTCAGAAAGACAAGATTTGATATGTGCTAGTGGCAGGTTGCTTATAGATCTGGGTGTCATCGGCATAGAGGTGGAAATTTAGGTTAAACTGGCGAATGATCTGGCCTAGAGGGTGAATCGAGAAGAGCAGTGGTCCCGGGACAGCGCCCTGGGGGGTACAATGTGTGATAGCTGTTGTGTCTGATTTATGACCTGATGGAGTAATGAAATGTTTTCTGTCAGTGAGATACAAAGTAAAGCAGTTGAGCACTGCACCACAAACTCTTAGGATGTGGATTCTCTGAGTCAAAATAGAGTGTGTATGAGAAATGCCTTAATGGTACAGATTCAACAAGATGCTTGAAACATTCTTCAGAGACTTTGGTGTGTGTTTGGCATGATCGTATTATTCAGTTGCTGCAGATTTGTCGGCAACACATTCATGATGTGAATCTCTTATTCCACCACATCCCATAGGTGTTCATTTGCATTAAAATCTGGTGACTGTGAAGATCATTTGAGTACAATGAACTTATTGTCATAACATAGTGTTATCCTGCTGAAAGTAACCTTTAGAAACTGGGTACTGTGGTCATAAAGGGATAGACACAGTCAGCAACAATTCTCTGGTAGTACTAAGAAAATATGCCACACCCATTACACCACCAGCCTAAATTGTTGATACAAGGCAGGATGGATCCATGCTTTCATGTTGGTAATGTGAAATTCTGATGTCTACCATCTGAATGTTTTAGCAGAAATCTAGATTCGTCTGACCAGCCAAAAGTTTTCAAATCTTCCATTGTCCAATTTTGGTAAGCCTATGTTCACTGTAACCTCAGTTTCCTTTTCTTAGCTGACAGAAGTGGCACCTGATGGTTTTCTGCTGCTTTAGCCCATCTGCTTCAAGGTTCAACAGGTTGTTCATTCAGAGATGTTATTCTGCATACCTTGGTTTTAATGAGTGTTTGAGTTACTGTTGAACCAAGCTTGAACCAGTCTGGTCATTCTTCTTTGACCTCTGCCATCAACAAGGCATTTTCACTCAATTAACTATCATTCACTGGATGTTATTTCTTTTTCAGCCCATTCTCTGTAAACTCCTGGACAACTAGAGATGTTTGTGTGAGAGGATCGCATAAGATCAGCCATTTCTGTTTCTGAAATACTCATACTATGCCATGTTCAGTCACTTAAATCACCTTTCTTCCCCTTTATGGAGTTTGATGTGAACATCAGCTGAAGCTCCTGACGTGTATCCGAATGATTTTGGACATTGTGCTGCTGACATATGATTGGCTGATTAATTTGCTTCAACAAGCATTTGAACAGGTGTACCTAAAAAAGTGGGCAATGAGTGTACAGTACCAGTCAAAGTTTTGTACAGGCCAAGTTGCCTACAAAGGAGAGCGATAGATGGCTGCATTACAGGACTTGGCCACCTGACCTAACCAGAGTAGAAATGGTTTTGGTGGAGTCTGACCAGAGTGAAAGAAAAGCGACCAATGAGAGCTCAGTATATGTGGGAACCCCTTGAGAACAACAGGAAAAGCATCCCAGGAAGCCAACTCATGAAACTGGCGTAGAGGAGAAAATAAGGCCAACCAGTTCCGGGAACAATTAGGGTTAAGGGCCTTGCTCAAGGGCCCAATGGCATGATCACTCTATTGACTGAGGGATTTGAACCAGCAACCATTTGAGTTCCAACACCCCCCTCCAACAAATTGATGATTAATACTTTTTGGCCAGTGCATAATTCCATGTTATTCTGTAGTTTTATGTCTTTATAATTATGTTACAACGTAGTGTAATTGCAAATAACTAGTTCAAAAAATGTATCGGTGGATGTGTCCAAACTTTTGAATGTTACTGTATACAGTATATTAGTCATATGGTCAGGACTGGTCCCTGTGCTGCCCCCTCATTATGTCTGTTCCACTGTCAGTTCCCCTGTTCCACTATCTACCATGTGGATTAATGGGCTAAGTGGGTTGCTTTTGTCGAAGCTGCCCTTTTCTCATGGGTTCAAGGCCAGCCTCACCATTTTAGGTCCTTTTTTTAGTTATTTTTTTCCTATCATTTTTGGTTCTTGCTTTATTCCTGTTATGTATTGGTGTATTTTTGCATGGCTACTTGCTTTGTACCTTTATTCCTGCTTGTGCCCCAGTTTTGTAAATCTTGTTATTCAGGTTTCTCCTAGTGTTTGAAGCCTTAAGTATTTAATAGGCCTCACCTGAATCTTGTTCCTAACCTTAGTGTTTGGTTAATTGTTTTGGTCTGCACCTGTCCCTCATGTAGCCCTAGTTATCTATGTATTTAAGTGCTTGCCCTCATTCTGTTCCTTAGTCATTAGTTTCCCCCCTTGTGTTGCTCCTTTTGTTCCTCTGTTGCTCCTTTTGTTCCTCTGTTGCTCCT